AATTCTTTAAGTGTTCTTTAAAGTGCTCTCAGCAGAGAGCAGGTCAAAACAAGCTGTACGACTGTGCCGACATCAACAATTTTGGTTTAAGAAAAACACCTGGCTGTGCTTCACTAACCTTCCTACTTAAAAATTAATATATTTGGTCTGAACTAACAACAGTTAAGTTGAGTCGAGTTGGAAAAAGCGAATGTGCTCGTGCTTCACGAGGACGCAGCTAGCTCTCAGAGGAGGAGAACCAGCGTTTGGCTGTGAGGTTTAGCCCATTTGAGTCAAAGGGAACCTCTCAGCCCAGACCAGACCATCACTCGGTCTCATCCATTATTTTGAGCTTAGCAAAGTTACACAGAGAATCTTTTGTTTTGGAACTTTCACGGTGAAAGTATTCTATATTTGAGAAGGAAACAGAGAAGCACTTCGTCTCTGATCTTGAATTAATGAAGTAAAATTAGTGAATTAATTTATGGTTGCACAAAATGTGTCCCACATTTTTGTCACCACCGTCAGATATTTATAAAAAAAAACAATAAAATCAGGCAACTACAAGGTCAACTACATTCCTGAGGACCCCATTTTCAAATCTTCAGCTCTACTGCATGCTTCAAGATCACCAAAGCTCCTGTAAGTATACTATTTTCTCTTAAATTTGTTCACATTTTTTGGACACTGCCACTGTCGCAACCATAATATGTCACCAACGTCTCTTTTGTATAAAAAAAACTAAATAAGATTATGACACAAATCTATACTTTTTAAGAAGAGGGCTGAAGAAGCTAGCAATAGAGGGGAAACAAGATGGCTAATGTGAACAGTTAAACCTTAGCATGTGAAAGAGTAGATTTCTGTCACCACCGTCAGATTTTTGGTCTGACGGTGGTGACATACAGTCTGACGGTGGTAACATACAGTCTGACGGTGGTAACATACAGTCTGACGGTGGTGACATACAGTCTGACGGTGGTGACATACAGTCTGACGGTGGTAACATACAGTCTGACGGTGGTAACATACAGTCTGACGGTGGTAACATACAGTCTGACGGTGGTAACATACAGTCTGACGGTGGTGACTAAACCCCCCAAATGCTCTCAAATGGAGGCTAGAATATTATTTTTGATCACAATAAATACCAATATGACCTGTAATGTTACTGATAAACTGTACAGTTGAATAAGGTGTGCCTGCTCTCTCTTTTATTTCACTATTATGCCRCATGTTCATTTGGGTTACGTCACTGAGGATGCACATAGGGCATCTACTAMTTACATAACACATAGTATATCCATTGCAAGTCTATACAACTTTAAAGACTAAAGTAAAATGAAAATGGCATGACTACATTTAACCAAATTTAACATTCTTTGTAATTCCCTCAATTTTATAATCATTACACTCATCTTTGACTTTATGTTCTTTATGAAGCTATGGTTAGGCAGYGGCTATCTGTGGAGGAGAGAAGGAGAAGAAATAGAAATGGAAAAGGAGGAAAGTGAACAAGAGCCAATGGAGGAAGAGTTATTGATCAAATGTGGTCCTGCTGGGACTGGGACAGATTCGTCTGCTGATGTAGTTCATTGTGGAGGTTGGCTTGCCGTCATTTATGACCAGAMCTGGTGGTTAGCAAAGGCTGTCACCGTGGATGTTCATCACCAAGATGTGGAAGTGGAGTTTTTCCATCCTCATGGGCCCAACACACAATTCTACCCAAAAAGAGGTGGAAAGGTGCTTCAAACCATTTGACCACATTCTGGTCAAACTTGTGGAACCATCATCGCCGGGTCGTGCAAGCAAGACAAGGGAGATATACAACCTGTCTGCTGAAGTCATGGACTTCATAGAAGAGAAACATTTACACCATATTCTTCTTAATGAAGTTAAATGACTTGTGGRATAATGGTAAACATTCAGGAGTTCAAATATAGATTGTTTTGACGTGTTTTGAGGTAGAATGCTTTCTGTATTTTGAAACGTTTAAGTTTATGCAAAAGAGACTAAGACAAAAGGTGTTCATTTATCTGTTCCTCATGTACAGATTTGTTCCTTACATTCCTTAAAAACTGTTCATGACAGTGCTCAGGATTTGTTATTTTTTGTACCAAATACTTAAATAAAGTTGTTAAGCAAGACACAGTTGACTTGAGTGGCTTAAATTTATGAATTTCATATTGTTATGAGGCTACCGTCCCCACTGTCAGAGGGAGTTTTATTTGAATTAAATAAAAGTGTCAACAATATGTTTCTTCAATGCTGTTAAGTTATTAAAGTAATAG